GGACAGAGTGGCACCACCCCATAAGTTTTCCATAAGGAAGCTGACTGCTACATCTTTTTCCCGAGGAACGGCTCATGGGTTTGAACCGTCCGCCTTTTCGTTTGCAGCTGAGCACTTTAACCATGGCGCCACCAGGGCTCCTCTGTGTCTAGAGCGGCCCTCTCTAGTAGAGTATTCCGTGATGACAGAAATGTTCTTGACTCATGCAGTTCAAGAAGGTAGCCACCAGCTCTTGACCGGGTGGAATGCCATTAGTGGGACTGAGGAACTGAAAACTGAATTGTTGCTCACATTTAAGTCCAATTGCCACATGGAGCTAGTCGTTACAGCAGCAGACAGCACTAGAAAATTCCATGCCGACTGACAGGTCCCAGGGCACCGGCAGCCTCCTGTGGCGCTGGTTGGTCACACGGCACACACGGGCTTACCTGACCACTGAAGGCCCAGCAACCCGCCCAGGAAGAGGGAGGAACCTTCGGAAGCAGTAAGGAGGCCAGTGGGCACGCAGTGGGCGAATCCTTGGCAGCCACGCCGGAGACCCGGCTTTGATCGCCGGCCAGTCAACCTCAAGTGCGGCACCACCTGTCTTGTCAGGGAGTCTTGCCTGTGGCTGTCATGCTGAGGTTTCAGCAGAGCTTCCGTGGTGTGGAGGACCAGCAAGAAAGGCCTGGCTGTCTAGCTCTGAAAATCACCAAAGGAAAAAGAGGAGGGAAGGATAGAGGGGGAAGAGAGGGAGAGAGAGAGAGAAGGCCTGCCCCGCCCAGGCACTTCTAGAAGGCCCTTCCATGAGAAATGTTCAGTTTCTCACTCATACACTGTTGATGGTGGTGTAGGTGCCATGGAGTCAGCTCCGATTCACAGCAATCCCGTGTACAACAGAACAGAACGCTGCCCGGGCCTGGGCCCGCCTCACACGTGTCCTACATCGGAGCCATTGTTGCAGCCACTGCACCCACCCACCTCATTGAGGGTCGTGCTCTTTGGGCTGCCCTCTCCTTTACCAGCATGATGTCCTTCTCGGGGACTGGTGCTCCCCAGTAACACAGC